TGCAGCCATCGAGCTATAATGTCTCGAACGTGTTGCAATATCGTCGCAATAAGGCTTCCCGCGAGACTTTCAAATATTAAACCCGACTATCCATTTGAATCGAGTAAAACTCAATTAAGATATACCCTCTTAATTTTCAAGAGCTCCAAGCTCTTAACGCCGCAAAGCGGTTCGGTAATTAAATCCCCGACGAAACACTTCCACCACGTATGTAGGACAGAATGCAAATTATCCGCCGGGCAACGGTCACGATAAAGCAATCTCGTTCTCGGAGCAACAATCGCGAACGTGCGGATTGTGGCGTACGCACGTACTGATTTCGCGTCGCGCAAAAGTTATGCGCCGCGTAATCGTAAATCTCGCGGGCGTCGTAGAGAGAGAGAAAAAAAAAAAAAAAGAAGTATCAGCTGATACAAAAATTTTCTAGTCCCTTTCACTCGCAGCGCGCCGCGCGCGCGATGGTGACGCAAGCACGACAGCACTCGCGAGTTTCCATCGCGAGTATCCTCGCGATCATGCATCGCGTGCGCGATGCATATTGGCGCGAGGAGTGATTACAGGGAGTGATTCCTCCGCGTAAAAGAGGAATACGGCCGTGTGCGGCGGCGAATCGTCCGGGACGTTTCACCTTTCGGCGATACTCCGTAATTTCCGCCTGATTTTTTTTTTTTTTCACCGGCGTAATTTGAAGATTGAGCCTTTTTAATGCGATATATTCAAATTGCAGGTGTGTCGAGACGCGAATAAGATCACGTCCGGGACCTTAACGCTCGCAGCTGCTAACCGAGTTATCCAGGCCGTCCTCACCTCATTTCTCCGCCGCGTTTCTGCCCGCTGGGAATTCGGTATTCCGCGGTAGAATAATTCCGGTTTTGTCAATGCCCGCGGATTTGCGGTTTCGCGAGCGTCTCGTAAATCTTGAAGCGGCCTTCTAACGGCGTACCCGGAGAATTGACTGCCTGGTGAAGTGGCCAAATTGCATATCGCTGATAAGACTCGTAAATCGGGTTGTTATCGAACACGTAGCCGTCCGAACTTTGAATTAAGTTGACATTATTTTTACTCACGAAAATCCCTTGCAATCTTATCGCGAACGTTAACAATTTTTATCGGGAGTTGTTAAAAAAAAGATGATAAGCAGAGTTTGTAAATTGGCATGAGACAAATAATACAAAATATCCTTGAAAATATTGGCAAAAATAAATCATTCGTTGTAAAAATATTACCCGATAAGCTTAAAATCATACAAATAACACGTAACAAAATTTAATGACACTTGATAAAAACATATGGGAAATCGATTTATGAAATTGGATTAGATATAAACATCAGGTAGCAGGAGATATCGCAGCGACTTCACTTATGCATACTGCGGTTTGCGTAATCGCGTGCGGTCGTCGTATCAATTAAGGATTTAATTTGTAAACTTAATGGCATGATATTATGCGGAATAGAAAACAAGAATAATCTTCCCGTTGCGGCCGGGATTTCCCTCGCCGCCAATTCGGATCTATTTAAAAATCTGTTACGACTGCTCACGAAAAGTTTCTAACGAGCGAGAGATCGTTTTTTCTTTCGGAAGGAGGGCAATCATCCTAATGTCGCGCGAGAGCATGGAGTTCCGTGTGTGACGAGCGCGGCCGTGCGGCTTCCAAAAATATCCGCAACTGGTTCAAAAGCCGAACGGCTACTGTCCGGCTTTACGGCATTTTCTCCGAGCTCGCGCCGCGTATGCCGCGCGCTGGCCAAACTGGCTACCAAATATTAATTAGCCATATTACAGCCGTTGATGTCAAAGCGGCCTGATGTCCCTCGGACTTTCTCCCTTAAGTGATATGCAACCGGCAGATAAACTGGCGAACGAGTTGCACTCGACGACACCGTGATGTAAGTGGTATATTGTGGGCGCCGAATAGAAAGTCGAAAGGATGACAGGACAATACGTTTCCCTTTCCTCTCCCTCCCACTGACGGATAATTAAATTTAAATTTAATTCAGTGACTGGCGACGGCGAATCGGCGCAATTACCAGATACTCCGGCGTACGACTGACTCCATAAAATTCCACAAAGATCTACTTTCTCTCTATACGGGC